CATCCACTCCTGATTTGGATAAGCATCATTTAAATGACTGTATGATAACCCGCCACAGTGATGTATTGTAATCTACCTACCTATTCAGTTATATAAGTATATAGTTCTGATCTGGTTTTAGTTCACTGAAAACCTGTGTCCTCAGCTCAGGACAGGCAAAGCTTCATATGACCCCCTGTATGATTTCAGAATTAGGAGTAATAAAACTAGTTTCCCTTGTGATAACAGAATACCGTATTTTGATTGATTGATTTATTGAAACAAGGTCTTGCTGTGTTGCCCAGGCTGGAGTGCAGTGGCGTAATCATGGCTCACTTCAGCCTTGACTGCCTAGGCTTAAATGATCTTCTCACCTCAGCCTCCCAAGTAGCTGGGACTACAGATGTGTGCCACCACACCCAGCTGATTTTTAAATTGTTTATAGAGACAGGGTCTTATTATGTTGGCCAGGCATAACTTGAGACTTCTGGCCTCAAGTGACCTTCCCACCTTGGCCCCCCAAAGTGCTGGGATTACAGCTGGATCCAGCCACTGCACCCAGCTGAGTATTTCATTTTGATAGTTCAATTTACAAGTGTTCTAAAGGGTTTTTTGCTTCAACCTACCACTCAAAACATGTACACACCAAACAAAATCATACCTCTATGACTTGTGTCTGCTAAGAGCATCTTAGTAACCCCACAGGGCTTGCACAGAATAAGTAAGCTATAGACTCTTTCCCCAAGAAATTCCCTCTTCAGTGTGAGTGAGAAGAAACACATGAGTGGTTATGACACCAGACAGGACATACAAGCTAGCAATGCATTGAGGGGTCAAAGTGGTTGTGAGTTTTGAACCCTGCTTAACCAGCCCAGACACCCTGACAGGCTCTGGAGCAGTGGTTCTCCTCTGAGGGTGATTTTGTCTGCCAGGAGACATTAGGCAACATCTGGAAGCAGTTTTGGTTTTCACAGATGGGGGTGCTACTGGCATCGAATGGATACAGGCCAGGGATGCTGCTAAACATCCTACAGTACCCAGGACAGCCCACACACCAAAGCATTATATGCTCCCAAATGTCAGAACTGCCAGGCTTTAGAAACCCTTCTCCTGGAATGAAAGGTCTGTGAGGGCAGGGTTTTTTTTTTTCTTTTTTTTAAAGTAAACATTGGAAAAGTACACTTAACTGTACAACTAAACACATTTTCACAAAGATTCCAACACCTAGAAGGAACAGAATATGACCAGCACCTGGAAAATAATCCCTCATGCCTGCTTCCAGCTCTGTGCCTCTCTAGAAAGGTCGTTCCCATCCTGACTTCTAACATCCTATTTTAGTTGTGTTTGTTTCTGAGCTTAATGTAGAAGGAAACATACAGCACATACTTTCTGGGGATCTGGTTTTTTTGGCTCAGCATTGTGAGAGTCATGTGTGATGCTGTATGTAGCTGTAGTTCATTCATTTTCAAGGCTACAATGTTCCAGTGTTTGATACGCCTTTCCATTTCAATTAGTTGGACAGGGTGGGCGTGGTGCCTGTAATCCCAGCACTTTGGGAGGCTGAGGCAGGCGGATCACCTGAGGTCAGGAGTTCAAGATCAGCCTGGCCAACATGGTGAAACCCTGTCTCTACTGAAAATACAAAAAAAAATTAGCTGGGCGTGGTGGTGGGTGCCTGTAACCCCAGCTACTTGGGAGGCTGAGGCTGGAGAATTGCTCGAACCCAGGAGGCGGAGGTTGCAGTGACTGGAGATCATGCCATTGCACTCCAGCCTGGGTGACAAGAGCAAAACTCTGTCTCAAAAATATAAATAGGCCGGGTGAGATGGTTCACACCTATAATTCCAGCACTTTGGGACGCTGAGGCGGGCAGATCACGAGGTCAGGAGATCAAGACCATCCTGGCTAACACAGTGAAACCTCATCTCTACTAAAAGTACAATTAGCTGGGCGTGGTGGCAGGTGCCTATAGTCCCAGCTACTGGGAGGCTGAGGCAGGAGAATGGCGTGAACCTTGGAGGCGGAGCTTGCATTGAGCCAAGATCATGCCACTGCACTCCAGCCTGGGCGACAGAGCGAGACTCGTTCCCAAAAAATAAATAAATAGTTGGACATTGGGGTTGTTTCCAATTCTGGTTTCTTTATTATGAATAGTGCTGCTGTGGTGAAGGTAACTCCAAATTTTGCTTAGGTACATTCCATCTGCTTAAAGCAGCAGCTCTCTGTGATCATATAGAGAACTATGCATTTTATATAATATGTATTGGACTGGTTGCTGTTTCACTAACTGGCATCTATCCCTTCCAAAGCTAGAGAGGAGTAGGCCAGCAGTTTCACTGCTAACAAATGGACAAGTGATTATCACCGTGTGGAACATCTTGTTAGAAATTAAATACCTGTTTGGCACTTTTATTGGTATCTCACTTTTTGACTTCATGGGCAAGATTTGGCTTTGAGGATCAGTCAAATAAATCCCCAGTAACTGATGCAAATAAATGATATATAGACCTTGAATCTATCTTGGAATCCCCAGTGGTAGTGAACTTATCTTGAAGAATCAGAGGATAGTTTCCACTGGGATAAAATGAAAACCTGTTAGGCTTTACTTTTTAAAGTACAGTGGCCCAGCCTGGCCAACATGGCAAAACTTCATTTCTACTAAAAATACAAAAAATTAGCTGGGCATGGTGGCATGCACCTGTAGTCCCAGCTACTTAGGAGGCTGAGGCAGGAGAATCCCCTGAACCCAGCAGGTGGAGGTTGCAGTGAGCAGAGATCGAGCCACTGTACTCCAGCCTGGGCGACACAGCGAGACCCCATCTCAAAAACAAAAGGCAGTGTAAATTATATCTCAATGCAGTTGATGTTGAAAAATGCAAGGGCACCTCAAACACATCATGCTAAGGGAACCCAGACCACAAAAGATTACATAGTGTATGATTCCATTCATATATCCAGAAAAGGCAAATCTATAAGAGACAAGAACAGATTGGTGGTTTCCAGGGACTGGGAGGAAGAGGAGGGAATGGGGAGGAACTGCTAATGGGCCTAGGACCTCTTTCTGGGGTGATGAAAATGCTCCAGAACTAGAGATGGTGGTTGCACAACATTGTAGAATGCATTCAGTGCCAATTAATTGCTCACTTTAAAATGGTAGGCCAGGCGCGGTGGCCCATGCCTATAATCCCAGCATTTTGGGAGGCCAGGGTGGGTGGATCACTTGAGGTTAAGAGTTAAAAACCAGCCTGGCCAACATGGTGAAATCCCGTGTCTATTAAAAATAGAGGCCAAGGCGGGTGGATCACTTGAGGTTAAGAGTTCAAAACCAGCCTGGCCAATATGGTGAATCCCATGTCTATTAAAAATACAAAGAAATGGCCAGGCGCGGTGGCTCATGCCTGTAATCCTAGCACTTTGGGAGGCCGAGGTGGGTGGATCACCTTGAGGTTGGGAGTTCAAGACCAGCCTGATCAACATGGAGAAACCCCATCTCTACTAAAAATACAAAATTAGCCGGGCGTGGTGGCGCATGCCTGTAACCCCAGCTACTCGGGAGGCTGAGGTAGGAGAATCGCTTGAACCCAGGAGGCGGAGGTTGCAGTGAGTGAAGATTACGCCATTGCACTCCAGCCTGGGCAACAAGAGTGAAACTCCATCTCAAAAAAAAACCAGAAAACAAAAAAATTAGCCTGGCATGGTGACAGGCACCTATAATTCCAGTTACTTGGGAGGCTGAGGCAGGAGAATTGCTTGAACCCGGGAGGCAGAGGTTGCAGTGAGCTGAGAACGCACCACTGCATTCCAGCCTGGGGGACAGAGCGAGCCTCCATCTCAAATAAATAAATTAAATTAAATGGTTAATTATGTTGTGTGAACCTCACCTCAAAAACAAAAATGCAGGGGCAGGGATTTTGTGTATGTGTATCAGTTTTGCACCTCTTAGCATCGATAATGGTGCCTAGCAAATAGTAGGTATTTAATAAATACTTGGATAAACATGGCACTTAAAAATATACAAGTTTATTTATATCCATGTTGCCTTCTATGCTTCTCTCTGATTATACTGGATGACTATTCATATAGCATTCAGATCTCAACTGCTTTCCTGTTTTGTTTTGGTTTTTTTTTGTAGATAGAAGATGGTGAGATTTTTGCAAGTATTAACCAGAAGGATGGTATGGTCAGTTTCCATGATAACCCTGAAAAATATAATAACCCGGCCATGCTTCATAATATTGATCAGGAGGTAAACATGAATGCCAGGTTTTTATTTTTTTAATTGATGGTCGAGATGTATTTGAAATACTGCTTCTATGTTCCAGGATAATTTTAGTTTTAAGTACAGGTAGTTCCCAGTCTATGAACATCTTAGTTACTAGAAAGTTAATTTCAAAATGGGCTGCTTAAGGACAATCGCTTGAACCCTGGAGATGGGGGTTACAGTGAGCCAAGATTGTGCCACCGCACTCCAGCTTGGGTGACAGAGCAAGACTCTGTCTCAAGAAAAGCAACAACAACAAAATAAACCCAGAATGGGCTGCTTAAAACTCTTCCAGGCTGGGTGTGGGGGCTCACGCCTATAATACCAACACTTTGGGAGGCTCAAATCCACTGACTTTGGGTGGATCACCTAGGTCAGGAGTTCAAGACCAGCCTGGCCAACATGGCAAAACCCTGTCTCTACTAAAAAAGAATAAAAAATAAAAAATTAGCTGGGTGTTGTGGTTTGTGCCTATAATCCCAGCTACTCTGGAGGCTGAGGCAGGAAAATCTGTTGGAACCTGGGAGGCAGATGTTGCAGTAAGCTAAGATCGTGCCACTGCACCCCAGCCTGTGCAACAGAGGGAGACTGCCTCAAAAATCAAAACTCTCCCAGATTGTATGGCTATAAATAAATGGTGGGTTAGATATCCCAGCTAGCTCATCAAAACCTCCCTTAACTCTGAAAACACTTAAAGGCCCTAGTATAACTTTATCTATTCACAGCTGCCACTTACAACATAGAGCCTTGTGTTTTTGCTGAAATGTCTGTGGAGTTCCAGGTTGGGAGATCAGGAAACATCTCTGGAGCTATGTGAGAAGCAGAGTCGGGGTGGCTGGAGAAGAGCAAAGCCCTCCCTGACGGTCCCCTTCAGGCAACACTGGGCTGCAGCCTGTCTCCTGAGGGCATGCTGTCCTGATTCTGGGGGCTGAAGGGGGCGTTTTGTGGGTGGTCTCTGTTTTTTACCTCTGAGCAGTGAAGTGAACTGAATATTAAATCTCAGAAAACTTTTTTTATAACAATTTGATGGCAAAATGTCACCTGAAATGGTGTCTAGTCTTCATTGATCTCAGTGTGAATATACTCCAGTTTCCCTGTAAAAGATACTATGTGTTTGATTATGAGGTTTGCCTAGATCCTGCTGGGTGGGAGGTTGGGTATTATATGATACATGTATTAGCTTTCTGAGTCCAAAATATGCTGGCTCCAAAACCCATGTGGCCCCAGGGGTTTCATGTCAAGAGATTGTGAACCTACAGCGTCCTTGTGAACAGTCGAAGTTAGAAAGGATGCAGCTGACCTAAACCTGCCGCTGACCACCTTCTAATGTGTCTGTCATGCAGATGCTGAAATGCATAGAGCTGGATGAGCGGCTGAAAGCCATGGACCAGGAGATCACAGTGAACCCTCAGTTTGTACAAAAGGTGATGAGGGTTCCCCTTATTATAAGAAGTAGGCTGGGTGGAGAAGGAGGGGCGTTGTCACATCAGGCACAGGAATTAAGTTTCAGGTTACTAAATATTTCTTGAAACCCTTACCGGTACAGTCATGGAGAAATACTAGTTTAGAGCATTTTCAAACAATGGCCTGGAAGTACACTTAGGGATGCTTAGGGTGGTTCCTGGAATTGCCTGCCCTTGTTCACAGGGTGGCTTTGTTCTGGGAGGGACAGGGTAACTGGTGTGCTTATTGGGCTGCTGGGGAACCCTCGATAAAAGCAAACATAAATACATAACTTCACTTTCCCTTTACAGAGTATGGGCTCACAAGAAGATGATTCAGGAAACAAACCATCCAGTTATTCTTGAAACTAACATCCATCCTGAGCTAAACAAGAGAAACTACCATCTTGGCCAGTGGCAAGTGTTCGGAGGGCAGCAGAGAGGACCAAGCCTGTGTCACCTGGAGACTAAGAAATTAAGTTTTGTTTTGACATCTTCAGTCCTATGTGCTTTCAGAAAACCATTCTCTCTGCAAAGAAAGGAAACAGATTTGCAAACTTTAAAGTCTGTCGTGGATTTATTTATCCTCAGATTATTGTTATTGCATTAAATCTACCTTTTTGTTTTAAGTTGCTTGAACATTAATGTGTCTTCTGCATCACTTTTTTCTCCTCTGAAAAGTTTTTAATAAGCACATTCATTGTGAACAGAAATAGTTGGATTTTAGGAATCTTTGGAAGATTTGAATCTGAAAGTTGTTTTATTCATTGACAAATTTGTATCTTAAAAAAATATAAAAGTTGTCATCAGTGTCTTCAGAAAATAAAAAGAAAAAAAGTCCAGACAGACAGACATAGTGGCTCCCACCTGTAATATCCTAGCACTTTGGGAAGCCGAGGCAGGATTGCTTGAGGCCAGGAATTCAGACCACCTTGGTGAACATAGTGAGACCCTGTCTCTATTTACGAAAAAAAAAGAAAACAAAGGATAGCGTCCCTGAGGCATAAGTTAATTTTTAAAATTAAAATTAACATGCATATTAGTAAGAGTATGAGTTGTGGATTATGAGATGCCATTGGTGCTTCACTTTTTTTTTTTTTTTTTTTTTTGGAGACAGGGTCTCTGTCACTGAGGCTGCAGTGCAATGGTGCCATCACGGCTTACCTCAACTTCCCAGGCTCAGGTGATTCTGCCACTTCAGCTTCCAAAGTAGCTGGACTACAGGCAAGCACCACCACAGCCAGCTAATTTTTTTTTTTTTTTGTAGAGATGGGGTTTTGCCGTGTTGCCCAGGTGGTGTCAAAGGTGCTTTCCAACCTTTAGTGTGCACTACAATTTTGTAGTCTTGAAAATGGCTTTTTTCCCCCTCTTGACTTAGAGTTTTTAAGAGACAAATGGCAGGCTTTCCTACTTTTTCTTCTCAAAGCATTTCAGGTAAACTGATCGTTTCATTTTGATTATATTCAGGGCCTCTCCTATAACAGGAATTTGGACTAGGATTTACTGATTTAGCCCTGGAATCGTGTGGAGCAGAATAAAGTGTGGTCAGGTTAAAACACATCAAATTTGGTCCTTAAAAAACATTTCTCTCCTCAGCTGGGCGCGGTGGCTCACACCTGTAATCCCAGCACTTTGGGAGGCCGAGGCAGGTGGAACACGAGGTCAGGAGATCAAGACCATCCTGGCTAACACGGTGAAACCCTGTCTCTACTAAAAAATACAAAAAATTAGCTGGGTGTGGTGGCGGGCCCCTGTAGTCCAGCTACTCTACTCTGGAGGCTGAGGCAGGAGAATGGCGCAAACCCAGGAGGCGGAGCTTGCAGTGAGCCGAGATTGTGCGACTGCTCTCCAGCCTGGGCGACACAGCAAGACTCCATCTCAAAAAAAAAAAAAAATTACTACAAACATTCAATTCTTAAATGTTTCAAGTTGTCTGGTAAGGCACATTTTCATTATTTAAAAAAGAAACCTCAGCTGGGTGTGGTGGAATGCCTGTAATCCCGGCACTTTGGGAGGCCGAGGCAGGTGATCACCTGAGGTCAGTAGTTTGAGACCAGCCTGGGCAACGTGGTGAAACGCCGTCTCTACTGAAAATACAAAAAAATTAGCCAGGCATGGTGGTGGGTGCCTGTAATTTCAGCTACTCAGGAGGCTGAGACAGGAGAATCGCTTGAACCCGGGAAGCGGAGGTTTTAGTGAGCCAAGATTGTGTCATTGCACTCCAGCCTGGGTGACAAGAACAAGACTCTGTATTTAAAAAAAAAAAAGAAACCTCATGAGTCACATAAAACGTTACCCTAGAAGAGTCCACACTTAGGCTTTGGAGGTCATATGGCCTATTGTAACTCCTGTGTTGCTGCAGGGAAATGTAAAGCTGTACATGAGCGACTGTGGCTATGTTACTAGTAAAACTATAAAAAGTAGGCAGTGGCCGAGTACGGTGGCTCACGCCTGTAATCCCAGCACTTTGGGAGGCCAAGGTGGGCGGATCATCTGAGGTCAAGAGTTCGAGGCCAGCCTGACCTACTAAAAATACAAAAATTAGCTAGGCGTGGTGGCAGGCACCTGTAATCCCAGCTACTCGGGAGGCTGAGGCAGGAGAATTGCTTGAACCCGGGAGATGGAGGTTGCAGTGAGCCAAGATCACGCCATTGCACTCTAGCAAGGGCGACGAGCAAAACTCCCTCTCAAAAAAAAAAAAAAAAAAACCAAAGTAGGCAGCATGCTAGGTCTGACCTGAAGCCTGTAGTTTTCTGACCCATCAACTAAACTGTCAAATTCTCTAGCACTTGAATTAGGACTATTTGTGGGTTGCATCACTTTCACTTGTTTACATATACCTGCACTTAGGAAACAAAATATTTAATGGCAAATGATCTTTTATCTGTGTAATGAATTACAGACCCTGTTGTTTAAAAAAACGAAATTAGCTTCTCATCTGAATCTGAAATCAAAAATCACTTAAAATGTGTCTGCGAACTGCTAGTACTTGTCAGTCGTGACTATGTAAGTGAAAAGTAACTCTCTTGTGAGCTGCTAATGATGTGGACGCTATTATAATCTTTTTCCCAAGGTGGATTCATTAAAATACTGCATTTTTTTTTTTTTTTTGGAAACTTTGAACTGAAAAGGGACATATTATTTAGAACCTTGTCCCAGTCCCTGCAAACCCTGAGTCAGTGTTTGAGGGGAGTGCTGCTCACAGTCCTCTCAGCTTTGAATCCCCTGTTCTGTGTGCTGCTTTGTGATTCTTGGGCTAGACCCTCTGCAAACCAGCAGGAAGGGGATGACAGCTTGGAGGAGAAGGCGACAGGCTCCCTGCATCTGCCTCTGTTGAGCAGTATTGTCCAGGCAAGTCTGCTTCCAGTGTGCAGTTTCCCCCATGCTCCTAGAATCAGCCTCAGCACAGCCCCTTAGAGATACAAGGGCCGGAGGCAGGCCTCCCCCATCTTCCCACTGTGCCCTCCTTCAGAATTCTAAATTCTATTCATCCCAATCTTTTCCCTTTGTTCCCCAACCCCTAAGGGATGGTATCTGCTCACTGTAGCTACTACCTCAGTGAGACTCCTGATTTTTTTTTTTTTTTTTGACATGGGAGTCTTGCTCTGTTGCCCAGGGTGGAGTGAAGTGGTGTGATCTCGGCTCACTGCAACCTCCACCTCCTGGGTTTAAGCAATTCTCCCACCTCAGCCTCCCTAGTAGCTGGGATTACAGGCACCTGCCACCACACCTAGCTAACTTTTGCATTTTACTAGAGACAGGGTTTCACCATGTTGGCCAGGCTAGGCTGAAACTCCTGACTTCAAGCAATCCACCCACCTCGGCCTCCCAAAGTGCTGGGATTACAGGCGCGAGCCACCGTGCCCAGCCAATTTTTTTGTTTCTTTTATAGCAGTACTTTCATTTTTCCTTACACAATGACATGTTGCCGGGGCCTGATGTTCTCACATAACAGTAAAAAACCAAAATGTGTTATCATCTCAAAGAATCGAGAATTGCGTACAAGAAAACCTTACATAAATTAAAAGGATGAATACATTTACAGGTGGAAATGCAAACTGCTTCCAACTCAAGACAAGTAGCAGCTCATGGTGTTCTGGCAGGAAAACATCAGCTAAGAAAGGAAACTGGGTCCTACGGCTTGGACTTTTCTAACCCAGATAGACCGGCAAGATAGAAACAATTGGTTCAGGAGCCCTTACCAGGCTCTACAGAAATCCCAGAACACTCAGCCCTGACACGTTAATACACTGCACAGATCGGAGACTGCTGGCCACACAGACTCACCAAGCCACCGACCTGTCTTCCACAAGCCAGTTCTCACCTTGGCCACGAAGTCACCAAGCCACATGTACTAAGGGTTGAAATCAAAGATATGGCACTTTGGGAGGCCGAGACGGGCGGATCACGAGGTCAGGAGATCGAGACCATCCTGGCTAACACGGTGAAACCCCGTCTCTACTAAAAAATACA